TTGAAAACAATTTTTATATAAATAAATATTAGAAAACTAAACAATAAAAATAAAAAACTGCGTTACATAGAAAATAGTTGAAATAAAGAGGTTTTTATTGTAACATGAAGAATTAAGTAAATAACTTTTTCTCTTAAACTCTTCGTGTACCTAAATTTTTACATCTAAAATTTATCAAATAAACTAGCATTCTAAAATTCCTATGCAATTTTAATGACGTGCATTTATGTGTAGAAATTTTTCAAGATTTTTCAATACTTGCACGTATTTTTTTTTTTTCGTGTGTTACTTTTTTTTTCAATTTTTTTATGTTATGAGTATTTAACAGTAAATGCATATCAGTTTTACTACGAAGTGGAAAGCACATAAAAGTAAGTGAAAAAAAAGAAATGATTTTTATTCTACGTAAATTATTATTAGATATGATCTACGTCATTAGTAAAATTTATCTAGATTCTGGAATCATAAAGAATAAATTAAAAAATCTACAGCCTAAAGAAGACACTTTTATTTATGAATAAACGTTTTGGAATTTTTAAATAGGTATTCGTAACTATTACGATGTACTTTTATCAGAGTAAAATCTCATAATTTTGGTTACCTCGTTGAAAATATATTCCGCCCCGAAATAAATATTTAATCAAAATAGTAAATAAATAGACAGAGTTCTTTTTCTGATGTCAACACTAAAAACAAATCATATTGTGCTTTTTAAAATATTATTAAAATCACCATTAAATTCTAATTTAACAAAAATATATAATTTGCAAATATAAATGTTGTTTGATTATCTTTTTAATTATTCAAGAATTTCTTCTTAATTGTAGCCATACATATTTTGAAGTAACTTATTTTCTGGATGCCTCATTTGGCTTCGATTTTTTTTAAGAAGTTCATATATTCTTATCTGAAATTCAAAATGATAAATTAAGTTAGTTTTTAAGCAAATAATTATTATTGAAACATCTAAAAAATGATTAATACTTAATATTATTGTATTAATATAAAAAAATTCTGAAAGGATAATGAATAAAAATGTTACCCATTTGATTATTGTTCGAGCAGAATAGTCATATTTACAAATTAATTACGTAGCTCATTGTTGAATAGTTTCAAAATTTATTTAATCTCAACTGTGAAAATGTTAAGTATTCGGATGCGAAAGAAATGTGTTTCCTTCTACGCATCATTGTTTTCCGTAACATTATGAACGAAAATTGTATTGAATAATTATTATCTGATTTCAAACTGATAGTTATAACAATATCTTCATTGAAGTGACTAGTGATTTTCCCCCTTATAACTTTGACCAGAAAATCGAACATTGTCATTCTGTTCGTTTCATTTCTATTCTGATGCTCTTTTTTCTAATAACCCCATGTTCTTTTTATTCAGTTTTTCTAATCTTATTCCATCTTATTCTTGCTTTATGATCTGAGTCATATATCATTATCCTCCCTCTACGTTTCTATCTTATCACCATATATTTACTTAAGCTTATTTTTCTTATCTTTTTTTCAACTTTTTCCCATAAATTTTTTTGTTATAATCATAAAAACTTTTTGCTGTCTGAATTACATTACACACTCTGAATTATAATGTTAATTGTCGAAATGAAACCAATTTTAGTATAATTCACTTTTATGAAGTAATTATTGAAGCAGACTCGAAAATTCATCAATGTTGAATAACTAAGATAAATAAATTTTCCAGTCTTCTATTTACTTAATAGTCATACATTCTGAAATTGTGGAATAGGCAAATCTTAGTTTTATCTTTTAGTTTAAGAATACATCAATTATATCACAGAACTTTAATCGGACATTTGATATTTTCCAGTGAGAAGCACAGACGAACGTTATGTGATACAAACATATAGATTATAAATTTTCAGGAACAAAATTTCTCATCTATTGATAACTTCACACTTATTAGAGAATTAAAAATTATACCCTAGAAATTTCATTTCTTTGAGAACAGTTTTGCACTAAATACTTTCTTAGACTAATTTAATTTTTTAGTAATTAATAAACTAATTAAAGATATTACAATAGCCATTATTGAGAATTTTTTTTAATTTTTTCAAACAACTTTTACCGATGAATCATCTGGAAGAGTTGTTTAAAATGCAATTTTGTTTTTCGAAATCAATTTTTTATCTACAATTTTTTCAGACTTGGAAAATATCTCCAATGACTAAATAGTTTAAAAAAAAAACCCTAAGGAAATTATAGGGACCGGAATAAGATATTTTTACCATTTTTTCGGAGTAGAATAAAGATGAAGTCGGAGACGTTTATGAATCATCATGTGGTATTGTGTTCATTTGTGCTTCTTGCTGAAAAACATCATAAGTAGACATTATGTTAGGGAAGATAGATAACGAAAGATTTTTTTAGACATAATTTTTAAGAGCCCTAATTAAAATAAGATTTGCAACATCCCACACGAAACATCTTACTGATTTTAAAATAACAATTGTTTCTGTGTTAATCGCTGTATCAGCTTGATCTATTTAATCTTCTAAATTTACTGTCCTTTTACGCGGCGGATTTGAAAAAATTAACCTTGTATCCGCGTATTCATTTGATCTGTTATTATTATAGAAATACATGACTTACACACACAAAACCGGGAATATTAATATGAGAATACTCATTAAATACTAATGAATTATTTACTTACTATTTTCAAAATATCTTTTTAATAATTACTGAGTAATGCATTTTATAAATAAAAGTGTAAAACAAGAAACATAAAAGATATCATACCCAAAATGTAAACATGTATTTCTAATGATGTGGTACGCTGTTAGAGGGTTAATTCTAATTAATTATTCACCCTCAACATTGTACGGAATGATATATGATGTTTGCACTATGGTAATGTATGTGGATGTTTGCTTTGACACCAGTGCTATTTTGTAGTAATGTAATACAATATAATGCTTCAAACTATCAGGCATGTTTTCTCTCTCTCTCTCTCTCTCTCTCTCTCTCCTATTTTCTGTATCTACATATTTGACTTTCTCTCTCTTTCTCTTTTTTATTTGTCTATGTTGGTTTTTACGTTTCCGATTAATTATTATTTGAAAAGTGCTTCTACATGGAAAAAATTTTTAAACATTTTTACTGTAAAAATTGAAATAAAAAATATGGCAGTAAAGACAAACCGTAGTATCTATTATAAAAAAAGTGTTTAAATAAACTAAACAAAAACATAAAGTAAAAAACAGTGCTGAACACAATATTGATAATACATTCAAAAATTATTAGGTAATATTACTCAATAATTTTTCAATGCATTATTAATGTTGTGTTATATGAAGATACAAAATAGAGAATATTTATCATATCTTAATCATTTTTATTACTTTTTTCTATTTTTCTTACGAAGGGAACATCTCACTTTTAATCTTCTGTCATTATAGTGTTTATAACAAAATTAATTTTTCTTTCATTCCGATTTTACTGCCTGAACTGTTATAACTATTTGTGTATTGGAAGAATTTTTTCCATGCAAATGAAAATCTGTGAGCCAGCATGTTAATAACTAATTAATGATATATCAACTACTGCACAGATGTTTAAATAAGGTATCAGTATTCAATAAAGCCATAAGGTTTTCATCGATATACACTAATTTTTCAATAAATCATAATAAGTTCAAGCATCGATGAAAGAATATTATTAATTGTAATTGTTAAATAAACCAACAATACTCGAAAATTACTCAAAGGACAATGAAGTTTTTAATTGTAACAAATGAGAAAACTCTCAAGTTCTGAAGTTTAGCCCAACTAGAAATTCTTGTTGGATATGCTTAAAGATCAATGCGGATTCTTAATTTGTGCCTCATAAAAACCTCACTAATATTGCTTCTCAGAAATGGTTCAAATGTGCCAATCAATCAATGTGTATCGATGTAATATCATTTAAAAATGGCTTCATTTCATTAAATACAGATATCTTATTTTGCTTATGATAAAAAGTTGCATAATTTATCGTTTATATAATGTTAAATCTAGTTATCAAGATTTGAAATATAATTATACAGAATTTAACGTACATTCGAAAATTAAACTATTGATCTATTGATTATAAATAAAAAGTTTGATCTCTCAAAGGACATAATTTTCAATAAAAGAATTGATTTTATTAGTATCTTCAGCAAATTTATGAATTAATTTTTATTAACTATTGCTATAATATTTATTCTCAAGAATAATATCAAGATTATTGTATTTGTTATAGAAAAATTATCTCCTTTGTAAAGTAGGTATATTTCTTTGAAAGTTGAGTAATTTTCCAATTTCTCTCGAGCATAAAAAGTACTCCAATTTGTTTAATATTTTAATTTCATTTTTTTCAATTGTCGTTTTTTCTTTAAAAAAAAAGCTATAGTATTACTTTTAATTAATTCCACAAACATTATGTAATTATCGTAATGATTATTATCTTGGTAATGATTAATCAACAATTATTATTTCAATTATACAAAAACAATAAAGAAGTAAATTTTAATAATTAATAGATTATTTATTGGTTGTAATAAAATTATATTTATAAATATTCTAGATAAAAATTTATCAGCGTTCATGTACAAAATAAATAAAAACTATAAAAGCTAGGTAGCTAGTAAATAAATTTCTACAAAAAATTCTTTTTAATTGGTTAAATTTTGAAGTATCAGTACATCATCAATATCAATAATTTTGAAAACTAATTTGAATATTTCCTTAAACTCATTTATTATTATTTTATTATTTTTATATTTTTTATGCTCGAGTTATTATAGTAGAATTTTTAGTAAAATCTAAGAATGAGTATTTTTCTATTTAGATTTGGAAATTCTATTTTTCATATTTCATTTTTAATTTTGGATATTCAAACTCTTTACAGACACAAAACTTCAAATAAACTTTTTATTAAATCTTCATGAAACAAAATAATCAAAAATACTATTTTATGTCCAGCATCTAATATATGAATTTTTGGTAGATTATGCTTCACGAAATTGAAGCTTCTACTTTTGGCTATTGAAATCAAGGGAGAAGGTGGTGCAGACAGCAAAATTTCGATAAATCCACGAGGTGCCAAGATTACAGCTAATACTCAGGGATTTTTCATTGCTCAATCAGCTGATGAAGTTAAACGGTATGAAATTGAATTGTCATCTAGTTGATTGTCTTTGAAATTAGTTCTTATATCTGATTAATAAAATACTTTCAGAGCATGGTTTTACTGCAAAGCATGCCACGAAGACATCAAAGATGAAACGCTCATCAAGAAGTGCAAATGCAAAAACTGTAAGTTACTTCAACTGAAATTATTTATTAATAACCTTTTTTTAATACATTAATTTCTACTAATTAAAATCTATAGCTTTTATAATTACTACTTAACACTTGGTACGTCAAATTGTAACATAACAAGTTATTATGTGAGTCACATGTCAAAAATTTAAGCCACCAAAATAGAAAATATTATAATTAATTAATTATAAATTATTTCATTCTTATCTTCATACAAAAGTGATCTGTTTTTACTCGTATTTAAAACTAAATTGTAAAAGATAGGTTTAAGTTTATTTAATTTTATTTCTTCATAAATTTAGAATTTAAAAAATGTCTAAAAATATACTAATTTTCTATAAATATTTTTTTATTGAGAAATTATTGGAATGAACTCACACGGTGAGACATTGTATTTTTCTAAGTAACGTTAGAATCTTTAAAATTTTTTAGGTAGATCCAATTTAGCCTTCTAGTTTTAAAATCTTACAAGGTCAATGTTGATCTAATAACACATGTGAGCATAATTGTTTCTTGAATAAGACTATTCATTACTAGTTAAATTTCGGTCAATTGTTTTTTTATTTCATCTTCTTAGGATGAGATTTTATTCAATTTGAAGATGATTGATAAGATCTAATCCAGTGCATTTAAATTTGATCCAGAGATAAATCAAATCGCATTAAACCCACTCATTATCAGATTTAATGTTTGACATCGTGATTCTTATTCAATTTGATTTGCTTAAATCTAATTAGATCTACCCAGATTTAGTTGATTTCAAAAACTCGATTGATCTGTAAATTTAATCTCATCAAATGGGGCTGTTATATTCTAAAAATCTTTAGTTTATTTTTATTAGAAAAATTTTACATAGAAAATATAAATTTTATATGTTCACGTGAAAGTTTAACCTAAATATGAAGAATTGAATTTTCAAAATAATTGGATAAGGAGGAGAAAAATTTTCATGTGACTTGCAAAATAAATAATTAAGCAATCAACGGAGGAATCGTAAAAGAATCTAAAAGTGTTGTCTGCTTTATTTTGCCAATGTCTCCGACATATTTTTTTTTTAACTCAAATATAATTGTCCCTTAATGTTTTTCTTTTCACTGAATGTCAACGTACACTAAAGATAAATAATAATTACTGACACCTTAATATGGCAGTGACGATAAATTGTTATAATATATGATCTAGTGGGGCAGCAGCAACGCTCCTGGGGCCGGGACTTAGGTAACGTCTCTCAATCGCTCGTTTACTCTCAAACTTTTTACTCTACTTTCGTCTGAGTATATATACTTTTTATTACTATATTTTTACGACTGTTCTATCGCTCACAGCCCTTGTAATTCGACCTGACCTTCGCTCTTCTATCACGTTATATCATTGCTCTCAATTTTTATATCTATTTCTGTATCTAAATCCCTACCTCACTGTCTTGTTTACTATTTTCTCTGTTTTGCCTAATTCGCTCTCAATCGCTACCTATAAACTGTTCAAACTTTTTATCCGCGCCAATAAGGATGATAATACAGAATCGCATTTTTTACCCTCTTCCATACATTACTTATCTACAATCGTACACTGAGAAAAAATTTTATTATCCTGCCAAAATTGAATTTACTTAGAAATATCTAATTTGGTTTACTAAAATTGTTAGAAGATAGAAAAATTTTAACCCTACACCCTTTCAATCGTTTATAAGGGTACTTACTTGACAATTTGATAACTTAACAATAATGAAAGAATTAAATGTTTTAGCTTGATTGATTTTATGTCATTTTTCAAGTACAGAAAACATACAAATCTTTATAACAACTAAATTGAATATTAAAATCATATACTTATCCAGTAATTATAGTAATTCAATTAACACGAGAAAATTCTCGATTGAATATCACTTAATTTAATTAAAATGATAAAATGTACTTCTATTGTGATTTTTTCTCAGTGTATTTTATTTGAATCATTCATATTTTATTTTTCATAACACTTGAAGAAAAAATTTCTTTAATTTTTCAAGCAATAGTTCTAAAAAATAATTAACACGATGCTAGTATTGAAGATAGAAATCTGGAATAAACAGTTACATATTTATTAATATTGGAAAAATGAAATATTGAATGAGTTAAAAGCAAGTGAAGTGTATTAATTTTCCCTTGATAGTTGAGTCAGTTGGCGCATGACCAACTGACTAATAAAAAATACTAGTCTGCACTCTAGTATGTTCCTTTATTCTCTGATGGTCTTGCATTGCATGTTCTCTAGCTCGCGTTGGGTCCCGCCCCAATAAAAATGCCATCTTGCAAGAGCTTTAATATATTGAGTCGCACATCTTCAATGTCAACAACTGTCATTGATGAACAATTATAAAAATGAATAAATTTTAAACAAAATTTACACATTTTAACAATCATTAATAACTTATTATTCACGATTGATAAAACAATATTTTTAATTCTAAAACATGTATGTATTAATGATTGAATCAACGGTCAACTAAAATTTCTATACAGAGGAAAAAATGGAATATTAATTGTTATGAGAGTTTGCCCTGTATTGTTATATGTACGAGTACTCTCACCTTGTTTCATTAGATTATAAATTATAATATAAAAATCTTCGTGTCATGACACTTACATCATAAATTTATAGCTACACACTATGTTTATCATCTACAGTGATTTTTCAATCGCTTATGTCTACATAAACCCTGGGCACCCAGAGAATTTCATCGTCGTCAACTTTATTTTTCGATTTAATAATAAATAATGAAAGTGACATTTCAGAGTGACTATTTTTTTCGAATCAACTATCGTGTTTTCTTAATTGTGAAAAAATTTGTGGTCCTCAATGACAATTATTGTTATCCATAATCCGTATGGGATTGACCACTATATTTTTGCAGATGTTGGAATGATGATGATGCAGACTGGAATGGTGAAAGGAAATACTGTTTACCGAAGTTATCTCGATGGTACGCCATATTCCATTCAGTCATTATCTCGTAATCCTTCGATTTTTCTATTGAAATAAAAATTAATATTAAAAATTAAACCAATCATGCTGACGTTAAAGTCTGCATTAAATTACAATTGGCAATATTTTTTTAACTTTTCATTTGGAAATTATTGTAATTTTTTTTGCAACGAAAATACTATTATGATTAAAAAATAATACAATAATTCATGAATGTAATTTTTTCGATCAAGATTGTTAATTTATAATACAAATATATTTAACTTTAATTGATTATTCAGAAAAATAATAATATTATATTTCAAAATTTTAAATTACTAAAAATCCAAGTGATTAAAAACTGAACATTTAAAATGTTCACTATGTTAAATGACATAAACAAACTGTGACGGTTTTGTAGATAAATTTTAAACGTTTTCAAGCGTTTACCAAAATCTAATAGTTCGTCTATAGATTTTAACATCAGAAATACTTAAGTGTTTTATTATAAAATATTTTCAGCATTTTATTATTAATCACTTAAATTTTTGTGAATTTGCAGTGAATGTTCAAAGTAGAAATAATTCGAAAAAAAAACTTTCTGATTTTAATACCGTTTAAATTTAAATCCAAAATATCTTTATTAATCTTTATTTATTACATTAACAAATTTTTAATTTTTAAATATGAACAAATCATTTCAGATAATGTATAACATGAGCGAACTAAAAGAGTAATTAAAGTATTAATTATAGTGTTTTTGTCAAAATATTATCTTTTTTAATGCAGACTTTATTAATGGTTCAGTGTTTAATAAATTTTCGTTATTTTCAAATGTTAAGTTGTTGTTAAATGCAGAAGCCTCGTAAGAATTAAAAAAAATTGAATAAAATAGTTTTTTATTCATTAAGTAAACCGTCCTGAATAAAGTCAGTGGTCGGCATTTCGTTATGATTTGACTGGAAAATGCTAGTGATAAAGTCAAAGTTTGATCAGACCATTTTGAGTTCAAATGAATTATTATAGATTTTACTTTAGTAATTATTTCAAAGTTTATTTAAGTAATGTATACATTTGAAAAAAACTAACATGTTTAATGATCATAAAAGATAATAGTCTTTAAATCTTAGCTATACTTTAGTGATAAAATTTTTGATTAACTTATTTCCGTATTATCCTTATTTAAGTGTAACTTTTTGTAGAATTGCATAAAATCTCGAAAAGGTTTAATATAGTTCAGTGTAAATGTACCACTAGAAATCTTCATGAGGATTTTAAGTGAAACAAAGAAGCTAAAGGAGATCTGTCCTATAAAATCATCATAAAGATTAAGTACGAAAAAACCTAATCTGAATTTTTGACCTAAAATATGGGAATGTACAGAAGCTTAAGGAATGTTTAAGCGAAAAATTATTTCTCTCTATTTTTGACAAAAAAAATATCAAAGTATTTTGAGACTACTTTTTCCAGTCAAAAATTTAATTAAGTAATATATGAATTGATGGAAATATTTCTAGATATAAATGTCCAGATACATTGAGAATGACCACTGACTTAACAGAATGAAGCATTTTCGAGCATGTTGTCTTATGTTAAAATTCATATGTATTCACATTTTGTTGTGACGTACCACTAATGCTGAGTGACAAATAAATGTCACATTACCAAGTAACACGTGCTTTTTTATTGGTAACAAACATGACTGTTTATTACTAATGATATCATTTAAGTGTTGCTTTCAATATGATTTAATATTACATTTAAAAGTAGATTTGATGCAAGAATTTCAAGTAACTGTGGCTTTCTGCTATTGAATTTTTTATTAACTAGCAAACTAAAAACTTGAAGACTTATTCAGCCATTACGTATAGCCAGCGCATTACTGCCCCAAAATATTTGGTATGAACTTCAGACAGATATTAATCACTTATAAATTGTTTTAGTCCGGACAAATAAGGGAAATGGGATAATTTTGGTTTGCTGCGGCCAAATTAATGATTTATATATGACTGGATCGGAAATTTCGCGAGAAACACAATGGTGTAGGTTAAAATTGTTTGGCACGCATAGGGGGGGGGGTAAATCGCGAAAAACCGCCCCCCCTCGTGAATTTTTCGATTTCTATGATAGATATGAAAAAATGTTTTAAATAAAAGTTGTTCAGAATTTAATTTTAATAAAAAAAGTATTGAACACTTTTTTTCATATCTATAATAGATAAAAAGTTATTCGCGACTGAAGCTTCACTATTGACAAAAGCTTCAGTTGCGTCTAAGAAAATTAATAAAAAATACTTAATGTTAGAAATATTACTTTTTGGCGATTTATTTAGAAAAATGAGATATTAAATTTCATTTTTAGAGAAAAAATTTTTTTTTTCATTAATTTTTTCATTATTTTTATAAACAATGAATTATTTAAATCATTCCCATTTTGGTTCAAATGCACCGATCAGCTCGATTTTGGGCTCAAAATGTGCAGAATTGGAAATGGAACATTTCATATATGCAAAGTTTTTCATTATTTTGCACCTGTTAAAAGTTATACAGGTATAAATATTTGGGCCCCCGAAAGCACTTTTCCTCTTCTGCCGCCGTTGGGTGCGACAGAGAGCAATATATATCTCTCTGCTTCACTCGCACTCACACAAAACTTCTGCGCATGCGCCGAGTATGGTAAAACGTGAGTGCGAGTGAAATGCTCAATCCAACCGTAAGTGTGACAAAGACACTATACGGTGAGTGAAGAGGGGATGTTTTGGGCACATGCTGGTTACTTTAAAAGTCTTTCCGAGCTCGAAATGTATTAGCGCGAGATTTTTTCTAAGTTCTACGCGCTTTAAATTTTAGAAAAAAAATAATTATGGGTCTTTGTCACACTTACGGTTGGAGTGAGTATTTCACTCGCACTTACGCTTTACAATACTCGGCACGTGCGCAGAAGTTTTATGTGAATGAATAAGTATGAAATATGTATGGAATGATGGTACTGTAAGAATTTTTTAATAAATAGAATTACAATAAAGAATGAATTGGTTTAAAATAATTTTTTTATATTTTACTGCATGTTTTCAAATATTGAAAAAAATGAATGAAATGGTTAAAAAAATTTTTTTTATATTTTACTGCATGTTTTTACAAATTGTGAAAAATGAAGAAAGACTGTATTATTTTTATAATCTTAATTTGTTTGATTATAATTATAATTTTTCAGGTTTTAATAATGTTTTTATTTTTGGCAAAAAAAAATCGGAAAAAAGTGCCCAAAAAAGTATAGCTAGATCGATAGGAAATTTAATTCTCTATCGATCTATATATATGATTATTGGACCTAAAATTCAAAAAAATTTCCTAACATTTTTTTTAACCATTTCATTCATTTTTTTCAATATTTGAAAACATGCAGTAAAATATAAAAAAATTATTTTAAACCAATTCATTCTTTATTGTAATTCTATTTATTAAAAAATTCTTACAGTACCATCATTCCATACATATTTCATACTTATTCATTCACATAAAACTTCTGCGCACGTGCCGAGTATTGTAAAGCGTAAGTGCGAGTGAAATACTCACTCCAACCGTAAGTGTGACAAAGACCCATAATTATTTTTTTTCTAAAATTTAAAGCGCGTAGAACTTAGAAAAAATCTCGCGCTAATACATTTCGAGCTCGGAAAGACTTTTAAAGTAACCAGCATGTGCCCAAAACATCCCCTCTTCACTCACCGTATAGTGTCTTTGTCACACTTACGGTTGGATTGAGCATTTCACTCGCACTCACGTTTTACCATACTCGGCGCATGCGCAGAAGTTTTGTGTGAGTGCGAGTGAAGCAGAGAGATATATATTGCTCTCTGTCGCACCCAACGGCGGCAGAAGAGGAAAAGTGCTTTCGGGGGCCCAAATATTTATACCTGTATAACTTTTAACAGGTGCAAAATAATGAAAAACTTTGCATATATGAAATGTTCCATTTCCAATTCTGCACATTTTGAGCCCAAAATCGAGCTGATCGGTGCATTTGAACCAAAATGGGAATGATTTAAATAATTCATTGTTTATAAAAATAATGAAAAAATTAATGAAAAAAAAAATTTTTTCTCTAAAAATGAAATTTAATATCTCATTTTTCTAAATAAATCGCCAAAAAGTAATATTTCTAACATTAAGTATTTTTTATTAATTTTCTTAGACGCAACTGAAGCTTTTGTCAATAGTGAAGCTTCAGTCGCGAATAACTTTTTATCTATTATAGATATGAAAAAAAGTGTTCAATACTTTTTTTATTAAAATTAAATTCTGAACAACTTTTATTTAAAACATTTTTTCATATCTATCATAGAAATCGAAAAATTCACGAGGGGGGGCGGTTTTTCGCGATTTACTCCTATGCGTGCCAAACAATTTTAACCTACACCATTGTGTTTCTCGCGAAATTTCCGATCCAGTCATATATAAATCATTAATCTGGCCGCAGCAAACCAAAATTATCCCATTTCCCGTATTTGTCTGGACTAAAAGTAGATTCTTTTTATAACAGTCCCTTGAAAAGAATCCATCTGCAAATAAGGTAAATTCTCTTAATCAGATTAGATACAATTCTGAAACAGTGAAAAATTATCATTCCGAGTCAAATGTTATATATTAATTTTGTATTGACGATATTGAATTTTTTAATATATTCAATACAAATTGAATATTTAACGAGTATTGATTTTATAAATAAATTTTTACTGAATTCACATTAAACACATTTGAATAATTCCGTTTTCGGATACATTCCCTATGAATATAGATTCAGTATGAAAAATAATTTTTTCAATATTGAATCTATACTGACGTTTCGGAATTTCTAAATTCTTGTTCAGTATCTTCAATATGGAATCAATAAAAATTTAAAATATTCTGTATAAAATAAAGATTATTTGGGGTTTACTTATTACTAATTATATTTCACTAATTATTAAAAGAATACACATGAAAATTACATTCAATCATTTATTAAAACTTTAATAATGTTGTACACTTAATTACAAAAATTTTTCTGAAGTACGATTAATTCTTACACTTTAAAACTGACAAATACAAACTAGTTGTCAATTATATTTTTAAAAAAACAGTTATGAACTTTTTATCAGTAGTTTTTGGAACTAGCACAATTAAACTAATTATTTATTAATCACAAGTTACATTAGGACTGTAGCAATTATGAGCATATACATCTTCATAACGAAATTTTTCTAATGCACTTCGATTTTTCGTTGAAAAATGACGTTTAGACAGATCGGTCGATTAACGGTTACTAAAGGCTACCACTAATTATATTTTTAATATAAAATAAATTATTTTATTCTTATAAGAACGATTTCAGAATATTCACTTTAAAAAACCGACTATGTTGATTCAGTATTGAAGTCAGAATAATCAATATGAGATTCCCTATGAGTCCCTTGAGTCTGGTGAGAGGACGCCATATTGTTCAAGTTTTGCCTAAAATCCCATAAAAACTTAAGGAACTTTAGTCTTGCCAGACTCTATTTTGCTAAAGTCTATCTTAAAAGAACTTTGTATAAGATCAGTTCAATAAAAACTCCGTCAATAATTTTATTATTAATTAAATATGATTTCAGAATGTTCATCATCGATTTACAATACTCTTTTAAAGGAGCTATTCTGATTTTATGTTGGAAATATTAACGTCAGAATAATCAGTATGGAATAAGAATGATTTCAAGATATTCAATACATACAATAACAGATTTGAGATGAACATTCAAAAATCAGTATTTTCAATATAAATTCGAAATAGTTCCAAAATATTCAATATCGAATGAGTAAGAATTCGGTACATTCAGTGTAAAATTAATATAAAAATTTTGACTCGGGACATTCTAAATGTTAAACTTAAATTAATTTAAATATAGGCAACCTGTAGAGTGTTTCTTTGCGTAAATTATTTATTTAATTGAAATTCTCCATAAAAATTAAGAAATATTTTTTAATATGTTTCTAATTAAAAGGGGGTTGTTTCTGATTATTAGTTTAGATCAATATACAAAAGTTTTTATAAAACTTTAGTTATAATATAATATAATAGTTATAATATTTTTTAACTTTGATATAAATTTACTTAGATGAATAACCAGTAAATAAATGGTTATTGTAATTCAGAGTAAAATTATAAAAATAAAAACATTTTTTTTGTGTGAATTTTAATAGTATATGTGATATGAATTATTGGCATAAAAACAAAGTGTTATTCAACTGTATCTGAATTAAAAATATATCCAGCATGTGCAAATATCTTGTTAAAATAACAGATGAGTTTAAAATGCCCAGGGTTTAATTATTTTATCTTTATTTTTCAAGACACACAAAAATCTGAATTTAACCATTAATATCACCCAATAAATCTATCAAATAACATATACTACATAAACATCAATCATTTGGCATTGACATGTAAATATAAAAAATCACGTGAGTTTTTTAATTTACTGAAAGAAAAGATTACTGCAAAAACAAATCCTGAGAAGCAACTTTTTATATTCAATATCTGCAATCAAGTTTTTAGTCGTTAATCAACTGAAATTGATAAATTTTCTTTCAGTGTATTCAGTTGTGTTCTAAATAATTTATAGTAATCTCGAACTGCAGTAAATTATGGGTTGTTTGTGTTGATAATATTAATGTTCCTATCAATCAAATTGATTTTTCAATCGTTCATCACCAGTAATATTCATCAATTGGAAAAGAGTCATTGATGGTAGAAGCCTAAAATTAGAAGACGTTTTAATGGTGATTAATCGATAGAAAAGATCAAATTTGATTCTGTCCCACATATTGATTCCCAGCCATCTGGAATGAAATAACTTGAATGTGAAGACTAACAACTATGGTTCTTCTCCCTCCGGGTAGTGGCCACATTCAGGAAGGGTGTTCGGGCCGTTCAAATGGTCGGAAGAGCAAGTACGTATCCTTCGAGAGTAGAAACTATGTCACTGTATCTATATATTATTATCACACACCGGGTCCTATCCTTCATGAGTGCGAGTTTTGCGTACAGTCATATCTACTATTATTTGAACCTCGGTCGAGGCCTTCACACACTCTTTAATTGCTCACTGAAGTGGCTTTTGTTTTATCTCATTTTCATATGCTTTTATTTAATGTACAATATGTATGAAATTTTTTTTTGTTGTTGTCTTTATCACTGATAACGTTCAAGTATCTAAACTGATTATTGTTCAATAATTTAATTTTATGTAAACACTTTTAATTACTTTGTTATCTATTGTTAGTTAACTTCAATTATCTCGATCTTTATTAATTTTAATGCATATTTTTTAATTGATTCTAACTGAATTTTTGGATTCGATTTGATTTTATTTAAGCCAGGAAATTTTATACTTACCGGGAAAAAATAAAATAGATCTACATTGATCTACTGAGATCTATTTTTTGGCACAATTAAGTTTACTTTGTTCTGTGTACATCTGTTTTGATCACTTTAGATCTTCTGTGATCTCTGTAGATGTATTTAATTTTTCTTGTCATCGAGATCAATGGAGATCTCTATAGCGAAAAAAAATGGCGAAAATGTAGATCTATTTTATTTTTTCCCGGGTTTGTTTGAATTACAGAATAAAAAATTTTTCGTATAAATTATGTATCATTTAATTCAAAGCTGCTTCAGTGGAAATAATCCGAATCTTTCACACATTATTTTTTTCAAAATCACGATTATCGTACATGTGATTTATTTGCGGATTTTTATATCACTAAACAACGAAATAAATGAAATTAATTATTGTTCGACGAGACGATTTTTTCATTACTAATGTAATAATCGTGAATTTGGCATTTAACATTCTATCAACGACTCATATTACAATTGTATTATCACGTGATACTTCATCATAATTATTGCCATAAACAACCGATAGCTTTCTATTAAGTACTATCTTAAAACAAAATAGTGAAAATTATGAAAACAATTGCAAAATAAGCGAATATTTTCTGACTTTACTGGTTCATTTTTGAAGAGTATATTTATTAAAATTTCCATAATTTGAAAAAATAACTCAATTCAAAATAGATAATTATTAGACGTAAGGTTGTTTCCAGGTATTAGAAGTTGATTAATGTTACATTATAGATCTATAGAACAATTAATGCGATATTTTAACACCGTTAAAGCGTGTATTCTCTATAAATGAAATAGTGAAAATGATGAAATTGACTGCAGTGATTATAATACAACTGATTGAAACAGTGGTTTAATTTACACTGCAAGATTAATGAATATTATAACTTCAAAAGTCAACTGAAGATATAGATTTTGCTTTTCCAATACTTGATTTGCGCTAATGTCAATATTTTGTCATTCCAATAAGTAAAAATTATCAATAATTATCGGGAAATAGTGGTGTGAATTTCCAGGGTCATACTCATTCAGGTCAAAAATAGCTTCAAGTATCTAAAAATATAAATGTAATTTTACCATGACTTTGTCTAATAGAGATAGTAGTTGATCGGAACATTCCATAAAGAATATTCCAAAATAATAGAACGAGGAGAGGAGATTTTCAAAGACAAAATATACGGGGGAGTTTAGGGTAAAATCCCAATAAACAATGCTCACTTCATATATTTACTGCTTTGTATCCTCGAGGGTTAGTTTCCTACGAAGGAGTTTAGGGGAGATACCAGGGCTAATGAGGGTCTGGAGATGAAGCTTTCAGCATAAATAGATTGTTTTTTATGAGTTACGAACTCGAATTTGTCAATTTTACTGAGTTTTGAATCAGTTTTTTCTCATTAAGCTGTTACCGTAAAAGACTTGTTTTTAGGGGGAAGGAAAGAAGGCAACGGATAATTTTAATAAGGATATATTGTATCTGTAATCCCTCGTTATTTGTCAAAATCTTAACTATTTATGGGTAAGATAAAGATGGCGTTGAAATGTAATTTTTTGGTATATTCATCAACTTAGGGAGCATAAAAAAGGGAATAGAGAAATTCAATGAAAATAGAAGATTATTTAGAGGATATATTTATGACATTGTTATTTCATATTTGGTTACTTCTTTGTAGTATTTTCTGGAATTAAAAATGAATTGGAATATTTGATGCCAAATTTACGATGATTTGTGAATTTCTTCCATAAATGTCAATTTTTATTTAATAAATTTATGTCTAAGAAAAGTTAAGATAATTATGTTTATATTTCAGATAATATTGAAGGGTAATCTCGACTTAAATGTTAAAGAATTTTATTTTTCTAATTCTTGAAATTCTATAACGAAATATTTCGTAAAGCAGATAATTGAGATGGTTTATTACAAGAGATACTTTAAAAATTTTAAACAAAATCAATGATAGATATACAACTTTCCTTAAAACCCAATCTAATGAAGAATTAAAATCTCAAGTTGAGTACACGCAGAGAAATGTATAGTAGAAATTACCCTGAATTTTATAGTAATTTGGTGACACTGCAGGGTGAGGGTAAAAATTACTATACACATTATAAAAATTACTGTGCACATTGTAAAAATTACTAAACTGCATGGTAATTTTTAAGATAAAATTAGAGTAAAAATTACTATGCAGTTTAATAATTTTTACAATGTACACAGTAATTTTTATAATGTGTATAGTAATTTTTACCCTCACCCTGCAGTGTCACCAAATTACCATAAAATTTAGGGTAATTTCTACTATACATTTCTCCGCGTGTAATCTTATCGGTTCAAACTACTTATAATGACAGTTAATTCAACTTGTGAAAATTTTTATTGAAACTCTTTCAATGTCAATTTATTTAGCCTGAAAAATCTAAATTTAAAATAACTTTCTTATGTTTCAATAAGTAGCTATCCAATTAACATTTGTTGAAGTTTTGAAGTTTATTTTAATTCCTACTTAATAATATTTGAATAATGAAAAATTTCAAATGAAATAAAACTAATTAATTAATCTAGGTCTAGGGGTTAGAACAGTGAAAAATTTTGCCTGGTAGAGAAGAACAATATGGGCGTGAGCATGCGCACAAACAAATGTTGCCTTTCTATACGAAGCAAAAAAGTGGGACTTTATAACTTCTAAACAGGGATTAAAATTGAAGTTTACGTGATGGTATGACAAAAATAGTACATTTAAACTATAGGATCAAAGTATAACATTATGACCTTGATTATAAACTGTCATTCCACTAAAAGTCTCGTTGTGTTTATTTTTGTCTAATGAGTTCTTTGTTTTTCTAGTCAATAGTTTTTCAAGAATTTTCTCTCAGAATGACCCTTCAATATTTTCACATTTCATCGGCTTCATTACTGCTCATCTAATCTAAACATTTAAACAATATCAAAACTGAATAGTTGTGACACTCATCGACCTACGCAGTTTTAATAATGACAATTCAATTTCATTCGCGAAACTAAATTTATTAAATATTTTTATATAATTTTGATAATGCCGAGAAAGAACAGAACCATATAAAATCTCTACAACTAATTCGGAATGATTTTGAATAATTTGAATACTCATGTATCAAGATAGTATATGTTAGTGCTTTGTTGTAAACTTTTGATTGTTGTTTAAAATATACTCGATATTTTTAAATGTCGTTATGAATGCCTTAAATAAAAAGTTTTTACATGTTTTTCGTGGATAATAATTATAAACTACCTTACGTAATATATGGGACAATTATTTAATCTAATTTACCGTCAATTTATTACATTGTGTAATAATGTACTAAAAATATATCTGTTAACGTCGCTTATTATATTGTCATTGAGTCGCTATGAATGTTCTATATGTCGTGATAAACTGTAGTATTTATAATGTCTTAGATAGTTTATGATGAGTGATGTGTGTGCATATACTTCATCGATAATCAGGCATATATATTATTACATATTCCATCTGATAGCGACATAATTAATACCTATCCAATACAATCGACAAAACTCTATTCAACTACATACCTTAATTAATTAAGAAAATTTTTATAAATAAACTATCTATGTGTCTATGTGCCTGAACCTTTCGTCTTCCATGTTCCACGTAGGTGAAGACTTCTCGTACTCAAGTAAGTCTAAATTCGAGGATATAATACAGATAGCTTAATCTTTTACAAATGTATCTCAATTAGAGAAACAAAAATAAATCAAATTGTAAAATTCCGGACGTAACATTATGCGTCATAAAGTCCATAGAATTCGGTTGAGTCGTGTATCATCATCAATTACAGATAAACATACATTTCTAGGATGATTATTACTTTTAATGAGATAAGATATTGCTCGATGGAGAATCCCTACATGTTTTGTGCATTTGTCTAATTATAAGCAGTCTACATGCGATTACGCGTGTAATTGTGCTATCTTTTTGCTACATTCATGCTATTATATTTTCAAAAAAATGCCATTTTTATAAACGAAGTGAAGGTTGAGTTAAAGTTTTAGTAAATGCACAAAACAAAATTTACAACTCTGATAAACTACGTAATTTTCCGACACACTGTTGTTAAACAATAGCTTTCTTGTAAAAATATTTCTCCGAAAGCACAAAGAAGCCAATCCTTTCCTTCACCTGCCTATTATACTTTCCAGCTTACTTGCACTTCGGACTATAAAATAATTTTAGTGTTGGTAGTTAGATCTGAGTCATTACTTATTAGAATATTGGTAGATCATACTTTTGCATGATGCATGTTGTAGTAGATGACTATACTTTCTATACTAAAAATATGCTAATAATAGTACTCTAGCAATGATTAAATTTTTTATTTAATGAAAATATGTATGAACAAATATTAATCAATTTATTGAATTTGAAAATAAAAAATTATTGCATGAGAAAAAAATAAGTAAAATACATAAAAAGTTAGTTTTCAAATTATCAAGATCGTTCCAGTTTATTAGAATATACTTTCTTTAATAAATTTCATATAAATTATTTTACTTTTATTGACTTTTATGTTAATTATTAAAGTTATCACTCTACATTTGTTTTTGGTCAAAATGGAAAAATTATTATATTTTTGTTTTAATAATTTATAAATTCATACGTAATCTGTAATAGTCTAGTTTTTTTTCTGGTCATATTGTAACAAAAAAAATCCTTTCAAGTTTGATTCTCAAGAAAATTTCCGCCCCAGTTCAAATTTACTAATTTTGGTCCAGGAACTTTAACTCTTAATAGGTATATGACAAAAAATAGAATGCAGTCTTTGGTTGAATAATTAAATTATCTCAAGCCACGTGTTTATTACGCCTTCAGTTTGAAGGAAAATTTTTTCAATGGTATTGATCTATTGTTTCTCCCTAGGTGTGAAATGGACTATTTCGAACAGAAAATTTGAATTTAATCTTCATTGAAATTTTAAAAATATTATTTACGTACTAAAAGTTATTATTCAACTGGTTTAATTAAAATTATTCTAATAATTGAGGATTTATAAACAATTAGTTTTTTTGTTATTTAAACTTAATAGAATATATTTAATTTTTTTATTTATCAGTGTATCTGAAATAGTAATTTAATTGACTTAGTCATTTCTAGCATTCAGTAAATTCAGGTATGTATGTAAAATCTACTTATAATGAAATATATATCTTATTATTTACTAACATACATTAAATTAATACACACACGCTCATTGAAACTGGAACGATCAAATATGTTAATTACGATGAATTAACATAAAATAATACTGTAGATGCTAGGTCGTAGATATTTAGATAGGGTAGCTAACATATGTAGTGGTTTGTTACAGACGACCATCATCCTCCTCCCACATTTACTCCGCCAGAACTGCCCAAGATGGTTCACGTGAGAGGTACAGTTATACCTCAATCATTCTACAGTCTCGCAATTTGCACTCCTGTATTGTCGAAATCTGTTTACTTTAATTAATCTCCCTCAGAATGTTTATTTTTCATTCGACTTTAAATTTATTACCAATAACAAAGTATATGTGATCACTTCTTATCTTATCATCTAAATTAATATTAATCATCAAACTTCAATTGTCAAATAAGATTTCCAATGTTTAAGTATCCAATTCTGACCCTGACTTTTTTAAATTTTTCCCCTGCTTTCTAAAATTCTTAAATTGTTCATATTCAAATTAGTCAAATAATTGAATAGTAATCGCTATAATAAATTTATTTATTTAGCAGCTAATATTTAACATTTTTCGCCATTTTATGTAGTAATTGTTTATTTTTTCATTCATAGTCCCATAGCAAAAGTAGATTTGAATTATTTTATTTTTTTGTTGGGGCTATAATATTTCATTGCCTACTTTTGGTATAAAGAAATATAATGAAAATGGCTGAGGTTGAGGTATGCATATCTACAAGCATGAGAGTGTAGGTAATTTCGCGAAAAATCATCAGATATAAGGAAAGCTAAGTTGCAAATAATTCCGTATTTAATGACAAAAAATCTATTTGTGCTTAATTAAAGAGCTTCCTAACAATTTCCGAATTTCATTTAATTCGTTTACTTATTTAATTTACTATTATTGTAGGTGAAATTAGCCGGGATCGAGATGATGCAAATGGTAAGTCAATAAAATTAAATTCTTTATTCATTGAGATGTATTCACGATCTGAGTGGGAATTTAGGTCAGACTTGGATACGGTTAGCCCTAATAGACTTTCCGTACAGATGTAAGTGGTTGGACTGAGTCGAGATAGGGTTGGTAATCCTCGAATGAATGTATAACCTTCTGATCAGGGGTTCTTTATATTATATAAAATACTCTTTTAACTTCATTTATTCATTATTATTGAATTGAAGTATCATTATAAACTGTAAATAATAAGCGATTTGACAGATTTTGGTCGGCCATATGTAAACAAGTACCCGTAGAGAAATGTATAGTAAAAATTACCCTGAATTTTATAGTAATTTGGTGACACTGCAGGGTGAGGGTAAAAATTACTATACAAATTATAAAAATTACTGTGCACATTGTAAAAATTATTAAACTGCATAGTAATTTTTACTCTAATTTTATCTTAAAAATTACCATGCAGTTTAGTAATTTTTACAATGTGCACAGTAATTTTTATAATGTGTATAGTAATTTTTACCCTCACCCTGCAGTGTCACCAAATTACTATAAAATTCAGGGTAATTTTTACTATACATTTCTCTACGGGTACTTGTTTACATATGGCCGACCAAAATCTGTCAAATCGCTTATTATTTACAGTTTATAATGATACTTCAATTCAATAATAATGAATAAATGAAGTTAAAAGAGTATTTTATATAATATAAAGAACCCCTGATCAGAAGGTTATACATTCATTCGAGGATTGTTGTTGCGCCAATCTTTTTCTGTAGGTATTCCATTATTTTATCTACTTATTCGCCTAAAACTTGTGCGCAAAGGTCTATATACTTTTATACACACGCAGAGAAATGTATAGTAAAAATTACCCTGAATTTTATAGTAATTTGGTGACACTGCAGGGTGAGGGTAAAAATTACTGTGCATATTCTAAAAATTACCATACTGCATAGTAATTATTAGGGTAAAAATTACTATGCAATATGGTAATTTTTAGAATGTGCACAGCAATTTTTACAATGTGTATAGTAATTTTTACCCTCACCCTGTAGTGTCACCAAATTACTATAAAATTCAGGGTAATTTTTACTATACATTTCTCTGCGTGTACCTATATTTTTCCGCTCGAGGCGCTTTAATGAACTTAGGTGACATTCATTTAGCTTTAGTTTCTTAAACTAAAATAAATAAACAAAATGAACGTTTCTGACGACAAATCCGTCAACTGTCACCTACAGATATTGATATTTTTTACCACATATATATCGTTATTTGTGTTATGTTTATATGAACGTAAATGAAAATAATCATATTTCTAATCGTTAAACTTAATTATTACGAAAAATATTAAAAAATATTTTGCAGCGAAATTCTAAATGTTCAACTCTTAGCATTGATGAGTAAGTAGGATGGCAACGACGTTAACTATTTTCGCAAGGGTTATTGAACTTTATCTGATTTGAATTAGCCTTTATTGCTTTTATTATTATTAAGAATATTAAGAAGTGATAGGTTCATAACAAATTCACCTTCTTAGGATGAAAATATAGCCAAGTACATTTGTACTTGATGAGAATTATAAAAATTGTTTATGATATGGTAACTCTGATCTAAGTTGCATAGGTTAGCGTAGTTTTTCATACCAAGGAGTAAATAAGGTTAGTTGGATATTCTTTTTTTTTTAAACAATTAAACTTTCATTGGATTTATTTAATACAGACGAAAAATTATCAAATGTGTTTAGGCAAATCGAATACATTTATTGGTTAATTGAGCCTTTTAACAGATAAAATTGAGTATGATACATATTAAATTTTTAGCCCATATTTTTGTATAAATTTGCAGATAATTAAACACGTCGTACTGGTTCATCCTGGTAGTAGGGGAAAGTGGGGTAATTGCTAATATCTAAGAGAGAACTGCAATGAAACAAAAGTAGTGAAAATAATGAATGTTATTGATTATTAAAATTTTACTTGAATTAATAAATAAAGCTTAAGATCTTACAGTTAACATGGATGAATTTTCAATAAAAAACCAAATATTTATAAATAAACAAAACCTTGGTATCCAGGATTACTCCACAACACGTGGGGTTATTACGGATGGTGTAGATTTTATAATTATTTAAATCATAGATAAATCCTTTGGATGAAGTTTCACTAATCGTAAAGTTTTCGTGGGCTCAATAGATTACATTTGTTACATTTTATTCAATCGTTATTGGGAGGATCTTCATGTTTTGCATCACAATATTAGACATCTATTCCATTTTACTCAAAAATAACGTGAAATTATTGAAAAATAGTGAAGTCAACATATTTTGTACATGAAGCGCATTGACTGCTAGTCAGGCTTTGCAATGATTCATGGCGATAATAAAATCATGAGACAAACGCTTGCCAATAAACCACAGTTCAGATTGATCATTGAATAATGTTGCAAAAAAGCATATGCCCTTGGATAGAGCTTGTTCTTTATGATTGTATCAATAGATCAAGCCTGGGTCGTTGAGATTAGATGCTGACTACTCGAATTCAATCTTGAGCTAAATAATTTGGCAAAGCTTATCAAATGCATTTTTCCACTTATTTCTCTAAGAGGGCTGTAGCATGAACAATTTTTTAAAGATTTTTAATAGGATTTCATTTTCAAAGCCTGGTGTTGTTTTCATGTTTAGATCTGACTATAATAGGACTTTTCTGATCAGGTTTTTGCTGGGAAATTATTATAATAATTCATAAATATGTCAAGTACCTGTGAAATAAAAAAATTAAATAAATTGATAGAAAGTAATGAACGAGGAAAATTAATGTACAATTTAGAACTAAAATCAATTAGCTAAAGGTTTTCCATTATTATATTGTGTAACGAGTAAAGAAAATACAAGTTTTGGATTACAGCTCTGTGTAGTATATATTTTTACTACACTAGCATTCAAAGATTAAGTTTGAAAAATCATGCTTAGCGATTAATGAATTATAAAAGTTAGTAGTTGTAACAAAAATGAAGATACATAATTAGAAAGCAATTGATATTATGGGTACTAAGGTCAATAGCATTACTTCTATTCAATTCAACTTTATTAATTATCGTTGAGCCGATTCCAACTTTATTTACTTCAGCTCTACAATTTTCAGAACATTCGATTATTACACTATTAAAAATTTCAATAATCAATATCAATCATCTTTAATTAATCTGCAAAACTCATAAATAAAATTTATGCAGAAAGTATTGTTGATTTTAAGAATTACATAATGTTGTGGTCGCTAAGCACGCAATACATATTATACATTGAATTTGAATCTAAAAAAAAGAAAAATAATATCATCATTTATTATAAATATTTTTTAAATTTATCTTCGTTGTTCTATTGTTAAGTGAAAGTATTTTTTCCAGTTATAAGAAACCATCGAAACTCTGTCGGAATGACGATGATAAACTCCACGAAACAGGTGAACAAAGTAAAGCCGAATGTAAACAGAACAACAAGCGACAATTTGTCAAGTCCAAATCAACCGTATAATCAGAGGTATCGTATGAGCAGTACTATCGTCATTTATATTTTTTTACAATTATCAACAAAACCATTCATCTTGATCTTTATTAATTATAGTTATCAACTATTGTAATACATTTGTTAAAGGAAATTAAACAAAAATAATCATAGTGAACATTAGGTTCCACTGTCACATTAATTGTTCTTGATATATATATATATATGTATATATACCTCAATAATTCAGATAAATGTTTCATTATGAATATTATTATAGAAAGAAGGAATATTCCTTCGGTCGAGGTTTCAATTAATGTCTTTAAATTTTCTTTCGAATTATTGATTATTGGTAGCTATGTCTTCTAAGTAATTTTTACTGTAAATCGGGTATTTTTTCCGTAAAAGTTAGTATATTTTTATAAAGTTGGATTGTGGCGAGTGTGATACGTATTATTCAAAACAGGGTAAATATTAAATAAAAATTGGTAGAACCTCGTATATTTGCTATTAGCCATTATCGTAATTGATTCGATTTTTTAAATTAAATATTTCGTCCATTTTCCCGTTTTGAGGTCTCTACATGCAGAGAAATGCATAGTAAAAATTACCCTGAATTTTCTGATGATTTTGTGACACTGCAGAGTGAGGGTAAAAATTACTAAACTGCATAGTAATTTTTAGGGTAAAATTAGAGTAAAAATTACCATGCAGTTTAGTAATTTTCACAATGTGTATAGTATTTTTTACCCTCACTTTTCTTTGATCATATTTATCCTTTTGCAATTTGTTGCAAGTGTAATGGTTTAATTTAAGACTTATTATTATTGATGTGAATCAAGCTTGTACATAATAAAACTAGTAAGCCCGATAATGATGGAGAAATTTTACCCCTCAATCACACCCTTTAAATAGGTAAGCCGGGCCCTTTCAGTTGGATAAAATTGGTATGCTAATTTTTCTACGTTAAATTACAAAATTTCCTATAGAATACACCGATTTTTATCGAAATTAAATCGACGTACACTAAATTTATCTTTCTTCCTATAGCTAAAAGCTTCCAATTTATATACAAATTTGCGACTGCTCAGGTTTTAAATTCGCAATTTTTATTTCTAGCAAAACAAACATTCAAAACCAAAAAATTCATATTAATGTAATAATATAAGTATGTAAAAACTTAGTTTAAAGAGGTTGAATTACTACGGAATGTCAATAGAATTTAGTTAATATTTTCCGAGAATGTTTGTATTTATAACATACATTGCTTAAGTTTTTAAAAAGTTCGTAAGTAAGTTTTTTTATAAGATACTGACTATTAAATGATTTCTGCTGAACTGGTTGTACTTATTTAAATGGGAACCAAGTTTTCAGTACAAATCACGTCATACGCATAAGAGTCTATGCATACACTGTAAATCTCAGTTTTCAAAAATGCATTATTTTAATGCGGATAAGTGTGTTAAATATGACGTCACCCATTTGATTAACATTGTAGTCACTTTTTACACACTTAGATCTGTCTGTAATGATTATATAAAATATGAATATATAAATTACCATCTGGGTAATATGTGATCGGAAAGTAAGAATTCTAACATAAATAGACTTGGCAACCGTTGCATAGGTGATTAGTCAAAGTATGTTTAGTAGCTCTGTTCAAATAGCAGCACAATTTGAAAATAGTGCCAACTATAATCATTCACAAATTTTTATTGGATTAAAATATATTTATGATTCTCTTTACTCAAGACTATTACTGGCCAGGTGTACTGCACAAAACCCTTTATTATCTGCACTATTTACCCTATCATCAATTGTTAATTGTTTAATAAAGTAATTTGTACAGTTCAAAGCTGATTCTATCAGAATCCTATCCCTTCATGGAGATCAGTTATGCCAGAAATAAGAGCGATTTATCAGTAAAATTTTCTAATGATGAAAATAAATACTAACAAATTTAATATTATGAATTCAAATATTATTTTCTGTCTATTTTTCAATAATTTAGAAAAAAATGTTTTATTTCTTACATATAATTTATCGGTTAAGCAAAATTATTGTTCAAATTTATTGAAAATGACAAGAATTGCTTATGACAGTTAATGGCAGGATGAATCGTGCAGGTAATGAAGAGTTTTGGCCAGACTCTTTTGTTATATTACATATTCAACAAAAATAGTTGTTACGGAAGAAAATCGAAGTGATTGCAAATAAAAAATTCGAATTTTTTGAAATATTAATTAACAAATTAATTAATAAATCATTAAAAAAAGACAAAAAAAATGTAAAAAGAGGATAGGGCACGAACTACAATCCAACTTTATTACTTTTGTAACACAGTAAAGGCCTTTACTTCCGGAAGATGGGGTAAAGTGAAACACCAAGAAAAAACTTAAATCAACAAATTAACTATTATATTAACAAATGTTAATGCTTTTTAATACATTAATAAATTAAAAAAATGATACACGAAAAGTGCAATAGGCGTTTTTAAATTTATTTTAATAAATTAGTACAGTTTCTTGAGCGTTTCATTTTGCCCCTGCATTGCACTTTATTTTCCCTTCCATACAATTTGTTAGAAAGTTCCACAGATCAAAAATTTTTTTTCATGAGCTATTGCCTATATTTCATTGTTGATCGAAAAATTATCGTAACTGATTTCGTTTTAATAATAAATTGTTAATTTTGTAAAAAAGTTTTAATCTAATTTAATGAATTAAATATGTATACATACATATTTTGTTTCCATGCCTAAAATTTCATTAGCCATTTAAAGACATACACACTTTTTCGTGTTGCAATCATATCTTCTATGAGATCCATATTGTTGTTTAATCAAGAGATACGGTAGTGTCTCGTGCGCCAAACATAAATTGCCGCCATTTAGCCCTTACGTCACGACGAGGCACTACCGTGTCTCTATACAAATTATAAGATGATTTTTGCAGGTTATGATTTTTAAATTTACAATTTTTTTCGTATTATAACATAAACATGGGCTGAAATTAAGAATTTGCTCGGAAAGCGATCGTTGACTTTCGATTAAGCATACTATAAAGTATTATCATTGCTTTATTTATAATATACGAAATTGAAAAAATCTTGTTGCGCAAAAATTGAGTAAACTGAGAGTTTATTCATGGAGCAATCATACGTTTTTTTTTATCAAGTTGGTGATCAGAGTTTTTAATTGCTATTCTCTCACTAACAGATTATAAAGTTGGTAACAAGTTAATTTTGCTCGAGCGCGAATATACAAATAATTAAAATATTTTCTGAAAAGATTTATTTTTTTTAATATTCTTTTTCAGTTGATATGTACAAAAAATGGTGAAATCTCATTCTCACTATAATCATAATAACTAAAAACTTGACTGTTATTTATTAATTGGCTTAAATATTTTCATAATTTCATGCTCTTATAAAATCTAAAGAGTCACGCCAAGTTTTTAGTTATTATGTTTATTGTGTCATTAACCGTACTAAATTTTCTTTCAACAAAAAAAACCGAAGAAAATAATTCATTTTAAATATGGTTGATTTGTAGATTTAAATAATTGGCGTTTAATGATTTTAGGACTTTTTGTAATTTCATCATTGTCGTTATTTATGTTTGGCGCACGTTTTTGTACAGCCCAGAAGGAGGGGGCTGTTTTTAATGAGATTACTGATTACTTTTTTTATGAGCAAAATGGCCGTGTATCAACATATTAAAATATATATATATATATATAGCAATAAACAAGTTGAAGATCAACCTTCATGACCTTCTGATTTCAGATCGCAAGAGGAGTCTGCATATGCTGGTTATCACCTCGCCTATGAAGTTAAAAAACTCATGTACGCTTTATGCTGTTAACAATACCTCAGTTGTAGCTCAGTTTATGATTGATAATTTTCGGCTCAAACAATGAACACTCTATCGAGTAAATATTTCAATAGACCAAAAATTTTTGTTTATTTGTGAAAAATATTAATTTTGTATGTTTATATCAAATTGCAAAACTTGCATTTTTTCTTACGTTGAAGTTGTAGTTCGAACAATCTTGTCACAATTGAATGATCATTAATAAAAAAAAAAATTTCAGATCTTAAATTCGAAAATTTGACTTGATCTGTCGACATCAATTTTTTCTATAAAGATTTTCAGTAGTGTCATCATTAAAATTACATAAAATAAGGATCATTTTGAATATTCTTTCGTAAACTGAGCTTCTCTTGTAATGAACATCGTTCCATGTCTAAACTGTTGTAAATAATATTTACACACACGGAGAAAAATCGATCAGTAAATTTGAATACCGAAAATCAGTTATGTTGTTTTAAGTTTTTTTGTACTTTATTCTTAATCTTATGAAACTTTTAATGTCAGTAAAAATGACTATCACTCTATCAATAAGTGATAAACATAAATTACTAAATAAAATACTATATACTTTGTATAGAATTACAGACTTGGATGCACAGCTTACCGTTTCACTCTGTATGATACTTCAGATTCACTGAGCGAAATCAGTAACTTTTATTCCTTGAAAAAGTTGTCCATATATTGGCTGGTGAATCAGTAAAAATTATTTTTTATAACGTAAAATTAATCGACTATTTTTCTCTGTGTGTATTTTAATGTTATGAATAAATAATTTGACAATGAAAGCATAAAAATTATTACAGTATGATTATATAATTTATTAATGTTACCATGCTTTTGTCGAATTACACATTTAAACTTGCAAACGCTTCTGTATGATATTATCTGTTCAATAAGGAGTAAATTTGCATCAACTTTAATAATTAAAAAACGACTTATATTATTTGATATGCACACAGAATTGTTCTGCACTTTCATTACCGAAATAGAGCACTGATTAATGTTTAATTGATAATTCACAGGCCAACAAGTAGAGCCTCCGGTGGCTCTAATGTCAACAGTAATGGTGGTCTTCAAGTAGGAATAGCTGATGATCAAGCTAAGGATTTCGACTTTGAAAAAACGGAGATGAAGTATGATTCAACTGGAATGTTTCACTGGAGTCCTGCCCGGAATCTTGAAGATTGTATTCTCGACAGAAATCAGGCAGCAATGACGGTCTTGAATGGACACGTGGTTGTTTGCTTATTTGCTGATCCCGATTCACCTTTAATCGGATTGAGAAATCTCGTTATGCCATTACGAGCTTCCAATTTTCATTACCACGAGCTTAAACATGTAGTGATAGTTGGATCAGTTGATTACATACGTCGCGAGTGGAAGATGCTGCAAAATTTACCCAAGATTTCAGTACTCAATGTAAGATACTTTTATTTTATATTTATTTACTAGCTGCTTCCCGCGACTTCCTCCGCGTAATGTGAATAAGTAATATATCCCGAGTAGAAAATGATTCAGGGTACTTACTAGGGTTCAAATTAGATTTCAGGCTCTTATTATATTTAAAAAAAAACACTCGAAAAATTTCTTTTCTATATATGAGAAATACTATTAATTAATTATACTTAATGAAATTTTCACAGAAAATTGAAAATTGACTTCGGAGGATTCGAACCTACGGCCATTACTTTACGCAACTTAAATCGGTGCCTATACCTGCTCAGCTATCGACTTATCAAATAAAATATGGAGATTACATATATTTTAACAGATACACATGTATTTTTTTAAAAATACTAATACTAATAATTTATTTACATAAATACTCAGTACGAAATTGTTTAATTGATTAAAATATTTTTATGAATTTTTTTTCGAATGTCTGATCCGGATCTGATCACATTCCAAAATACCTGAATTAATTTCTAGTCGGGCATTTCAGCAGTACTTAAGTAATCATTATAAATTTGGTTAAGTATTGGATCAGGTGTTAAAACATCGCTTGCAGTGAAAATTGCAGTGAAAAATTTTTCAATCATAACAGAACAATTCTTAAGAAAAAGGTAAACAAACAATCCATATTGATCATAAACCTCAAACATTTCTTACGTGTATAATATACATACCGTTATATATATATATATTTGAGCTGACCGGTATGATCGATCGATTAAAAAACTGTACTACTGATAATACCGATAAATTGGCATACCTACTGTGGCAGCAAAAGTGGCTGCCACAGTAGATGATTTTTTTAACTTTTTGAGATAAAAAATCTCAAAAATAAAAATCGATTCAAAAAAAGTGAGGTGACTACTGAATCATAAGGAAAAATTTTTTTTCAGTTCAGTATGCCCGATTTTTGCTTGATTGACGAGATATTACATAAATTATGTGGATTCATCGGAAAAATAATTTTTAAATTAAAAAAAAAAAGTATAACGCGGCTGGTTTTTTTTTGGCTGGGAATTATTTCATTAAATTCAGCGCATTTTTCTTTATAAAATGAGCCCGGTACCGACTTGTGCCACGAAATTTCGTATTTAAAATGCACATTGACTGGACTAAATATTCCGGAAATTGGAAAATTAAAATTTATCATTATTTTCCTTCAATTTGCCGAGCTAATTTATTCAGTATAAAACTATTTTAAACTAGTTAAGAGGTAACAATTAATGTCACAATGTAATATCAATATTCATACAATATTGCTAGACAGGGTAATTCGGGATTATCTCCACAGTTTTTACACACAGACATTAGAGTGAATCTAGAACAAGACGCATATCGCAAAGTTTACCAAAATAGTGTGGAAGTAACGGAAGTGCTCATGTAAAGAACTTGAGTGCCGAATATAATAAGTTTATTTAATAATGCTCAGAAATTACAAGTGAATCATTTTAAAGAGCCAGACTAAATCTAAATCGGGACCGACGATGATGCCTTAAGGAAAACTCGGTTTTCCCCTATAAGGCGTTGATGCCCCTTCCTTGTAGCTCACCCAGGTCTCTTCTTATGCTATCATAAATTATTGTCGGTAAATAAAATTCCTTTGATCTATACCATGTGGCAATGCGCAGGAAAACACTGCACACGTGAAAGGACTTACTTAACCTGACCATATTTAACCTAAGCTTATAATAAAATAGTGTGGCACGAAAGTGTTATTACACCGATACTACAATAGAAAAGTTATTAAGTTTAAGGAAAGGCAAATCAAAGGAAATAAGTAAAACTTAGCCAGAGAGAGGAAAAGTTATTTTTTAAAGAAGAGTCACCATGTATTATAAAATAACAAAGTAACTAATGTCACGTGGCAGCAATTTCAGGCATAAAAATTTGTAAATACGAAATGAATGAAAGCGCGCACGAAAATACGTTTACGACTATTTTGAAGCGATTAAAAAGTGATTAGAACTTTTCTGACTAGTTTATGACGACTTAACAACTGTCAAAAAATGGTACAAAAATTTCTAACGGTTTCAAAGTAGTCGTTAAAAACAAGCTAAAAATGTTCTGACTATCTTAAAATATTATTTAAATAATTAGCTTATACCCGTGACTCCGTCTACGTAAATACTAATTGACTGCTATGAACTATAATTAATTGATAGAATTAATGCACAAAAATTTTGAACCATACAATTTTCTAGCTAATCAGAATAGTATATTTATTCATTATAAATGATCAATGTGACATCATTACTTCACATGATAATAGATTGATTGAGTGAAGTTATGAATAATAATTTTGTAGTTTGAATGAACCAATTTCAGATAGGTATTCCAATTGTTCATAACAAATTCGATATAAACAAATGTATCCTATGTTATTCTTGATATCCTCCTCTTTATGTCTACAATGTTTCATTGAAACCGGTTTAGTCGTTACCAAGATTGCTTCAGACAGACAAAAATTCTGAACAACATCATATACGTTTTAACAACACGCAAATAACTTTCTTAACTCAATTTAACGTTTTTGTAAAATCACAGACAGCAACTCCAATGATATTTATATAGATTCCAAATATATGTACATTATTTTTTAAAGGGTTCACCGTTAAGCAGAGCAGACTTACGAGCTGTTAACGTGAATCTCTGCGATATGTGTTGTATTCTATCAGCAAAAGTGCCTAGCAATGATGATCCTACGCTTGCCGATAAAGAAGCTATTTTAGCGTCCCTCAATATCAAGGCTATGACATTCGATGATACGATTGGAGTACTTAGCCAAGGTAAATTATCTTTCGAAACGAAATTAATCTTCCAACGTTACATCATATGCATATTTATTCAGTCTGTATTTTATATGTTTCAGTTGGTAGCCCAATAGTTTTACAGAGACGAGGATCTGTTTACGGAGCTAATGTACCGATGATAACAGGTAAGTCTATAGCATATTACACACCATGGAGAGAAAGTGCACTTTTACAGATCACACGTAAATTTACACAAAAACCGAAGGAAAAATTCATAGTATTTGATAGTACACTTCTTTTCTAATATGAATACACTTTTTTTAATAAAAAGTATATACTATGTTAAGCCGTAGCTACCTCACACCATTGACATATCAAAATTAAGCTGACTAAATATTCTTACGCCTTTGTCTGAAGACTTAGCGCAACTCTCTACAGAATTAGAACCAGAAATTTAGAGAGTTTATTCATTCATTGTAAGAGATAAAAATTATAACATTGTTAAGAATATTCGATTACAAAATAGGAGTGATGAAAACAATATATTGTCATGAACTATAATAATCTCTAGTGTTAAATATTTAGTGTAATAAAGTGTTATGAGTGACAATAAGTTTGTGAACATTCGGATAAATTTGTGCGTGTAAATTGACTGAAATCCTGAGTTATATCCACGGCATAACAACTAGTATGTATTGTGACGATATTTTCCCACTGGGGTAGGTGGACTGAATATTCACCTTCCTCCAGGACACTACTTTACCAGCTAACATCCCTGGTTCGCTTATAAAAAGTATAAACGACGGGCGCCAAGTTATTTTTAATCACCAGAATAACTAAACTGGCAAAACTTACATCTAAATCCCAAAACCCTTAAACCTAGACCCAAACTTACAACTAATTTCTAATCAAAAATCTAAACCCAAAATCTCCAAAAATCTTACAACTAGTTACAAAATTTTAAAACTAAACTTAAGTAAGATGCTGCTGGTGAAAGGTCCTGACAGGGGATCTCCTGGAGCTCAGTTATGTGGGTTGTGGAGAGAGGGCCAGGGCCGGCAAGGAAATTTAACGGTTGTACCCCATAGAATTTTCCTGAATGATCAGGAACACGATGGAGTTGAAGGTTCCCCGTTACATAAAACCATTAAAAAAACAAGTATCGAGTAAACATGAATTTATTAAACAAAATCAATCTTTCTATGGCCATGCTGCAGTAACCAAATAAAACTATTTCACAATCAAATGCCTTCGACCTAAGTTCTGGAACGTTCTATAACTTCTTATATTATTTAAATATTTTTACAAAACTTCATACATTATCCAATCTCAATAAATGACTCAAAGCTAAATACAATTGAGTTCTATCTTATAATTTTCTCTAAAACCCAAAGCAAAATCATCCATATTTCTCTTAAATGCAATATAATAAATTGAATTAAATTCTTATAACTAAGCTAAATCACGAGAGCAAACCAAGGGTGGAAGATCAATCATCTTTTATTATATTAGCTGAAAACTACCAAACTACTGAAAATCCCACCAAAATGTAGACTCAATACGACTTACAGGAGCTGCAGAGGATACTTAGATGTCGTAATCTCGTCTAGACTGGTTCCTGAATGAACTGGAACCTACTCTCTGAACCAGGGCTCTCCCTGCGGTCCGCCATGTCTTTACTGTCTGCTATTTTCCTCCTTAACTTGCTCAAGTTCTTCAACCTCCACTCGCTGCTTCCATCTTCACCCTTCAATGTCTAACTCCTAGCTTTCTTGCTCCAAAAGCCAAATTCTTACTTCTTCAAAAGCCAAGTTCTTACTTCTTCAGCGGCCAAGTCCCAACTAACTTTTTCTTTTCAATTGTTCGATGTCTTATCATTTTCCCCCTCCAATAACATAAGTATTTCGTGATTTGTAGGATTGTGTCCCCATTAGTAGTTCTCATCACGTGATCTCTCCTAGATTTCTTTGTGGAAGGGCGTCTTAACTAGGTGCTTCCTTGGAGGTAAAGTTGATCAGGCTTCCCCCCATAAGGCCTGCAAACTTATAACTAATTCTTCAACTTAAATCTAAGTTCTTCACAAAATCTCAAAAATGCACATTCCACACCTTCATCTCTTCTATTGGAGTACCAGGTTGCTGGACCTGATCAGATGATGATAACTCATAGGGCTAGAACGTCTCCTAGCATGGATCATATAACGGGTGGCACGTTTCGTTTAGCCCTCTACTCCACGTTAGCGATCCACTTCTCCACTTAATGGTTCTCAACTCCACAAATGATTATTTTTTCTCCTCTACCAACTCCTCCTCATTCTATTGAGTCTTTTCCTACTACCAGAGCTACATACATGATCTTCCAACCTTGCTAATTATCGTGTCTACTGATATTTTGAATTAACAATCGAAATAAATAATTATTAACAAAAGTATATAATTGAGTAGAATAATATTTTAAGCACACGTGAACAATGACTGTAATGACCATTAAAATAGGTCCTGGAAGCTCCCAAAATATAGAGCAACACGTGAAAAATAGCTAGAGCAACCTAACTGGGCTTATGATTAGCCTTCAATATTAATTAAATTGTTCTTTGAGACGTCAATGGGACGTTATCCCAAAAATAACGTCACAGTATATAATTTTTTTTTCAACCAATAAAAATAACATGGAGTATTTTCAAGATAATAGTTTATTCGATTCAATAATATTGTTATCAAAAACATATTCCGTCATTTGTTTCGATGTTACGACAAGTACGAAGATAAATGAAATTTCACTCGTTTAATTGAATGAAATTTTATCAAAAATAGCACCCTCATTCTGGGCTGTACAAAAATGTGCGCCAAGCATAAATAATAACAAAAGTTTTAAAATTATTGAACGCCAAATATTTAAATCTAAGAATCAACAATATTTGAAAGGAATTATTTTCTTAGGTTTTTATTTGTTTTTGAAACAATTTACTATGTGTTATAACACAATCAACATAACAATCAAAAACTTGGCGTAACTAATGTAGTAATAAATGTAAATGTAAGAATAAGGAAAATATTTCAATTTTAAAGAGCATAACCCGCAAAAATCATTTTTTAACTGGTATAGATACATGGTAGTGCCTCGTCGTGACGTAAGGGTGCAATGGCGGCAATGAATGCTTGGCGCACGAGACATACCGTATGACACTACCTTATCTCTTGAGATTCATAATTTTGAAGAAATATATCATTGCGACTATTTGAAATTTCGATGCTGATAATCGAATAAAATATTTTTGTATGAAATAAATTTTTCTTGTCAGTGCAGTGATGTAACAAAATAGTACATTTACATCTAGGGAGAGAAAGTAGTCTGACTCGAACCATGTGTAAAATTACAGCCCAAGCCGAAGGCGAAGGTGGTAAACAAGTGGTTTAAGCTAATCTAATTGTCCTTCTTAGGACTGAATATAGTTTTTCATCATACCTGTGTGGAAAGTTCAACCCCTTTTTAATGGAACAGTGAATTTTCCGTGCGAGTATGACGAAAATATAAGTATCATAGTTTCTATAAATATTTAAAAAAATAATTGATCATTTAATGCATCTCTATTGTTACAGAACTTGTTAACGATAGCAACGTGCAATTTCTCGATCAGGATGATGACGATGATCCTGATACAGAGCTCTACCTCACACAACCATTTGCCTGTGGCACTGCCTTTGCTGTCAGCGTCCTTGACTCTTTGATGTCAACGGTAAAAATGATTTTATTTATTATAATTGCTTAAAGTGAATCTCAATAAAGCTAAAGTTTGTATCTGAATAGAATAGAATGCGGAGGGTTTGTACTATCAACTTCCTAGGATTATGCAAATAGAAATTAAGACTGGACCACACTTTATTTTCTAATCATGTCAACTGTATTTATTTTTATCTTTATTATACACATGAGAGAGCATGCTAAGAAGTATTAAAAATTTGTTCCTTTTATAAGTTTTATAGCGACCTACATACCATTTTTTTTAAATTTTCGGACTTTTTCATTTAGAATAAATTCAGCGTGTTATCGTAATTAATCGGAAAAAATTTGAGGTAAAAAATGTATCTGAGTGTACTTTGAGATTTATTATCATTTTTTTTATTATAATTTTATGAAAATATTATTTATCTATATTTTATATATTTATTGAAATTAGTTATTTAGACATGTCATTATTGTTTTTCAAATACTTTGTAACAAGTTAAAATTGTTGTCATCGGTAATAACTATACCGTTGTTTTGTTCAAGACAAATAAACGGATATACCAAATTTGTTCGAATTTTTTTTGGATCTTTTTTGTTTTATGATATTTCAAGTGAAATTCGTCCAGAGTCTATATCGTTAGTGGTTCGTTCGAGTGGAAATATTTGGTATTACTACGACACTGATTACATTGCTAAGAAGCAATGTAAAAAAGACCAAATACTTCGACTCGGGATATGTAAAATATCAACTTAATCTCACATTGCTGACGTATGAAATTTCCACTTTCACAATGAAAATGTTATTTTAATGTGATATTAAGTGTATCTTTATGACGTTACTGCTCATGTAGAAAATGTGAAAAGAATATAATAGTCATATGGATTTGAAAATAAAAATAAATTTAGGACCAAATTGGTATTGACATTGGTTACATTGCTTTTCTTTTTTTCGGTGTTTTGTTCCGGTCATCGATCTATGTACTGACGTAAATGTTGCTTGACTTGAAGATAGTGTGTTCGGTTCCATCCCACTGTGTTACATCGCGTTGTAATATTTTTTTTTTTAATTCATAAACAATTTGATTATACATTTAACGATTAAAATATTCTTAAGAAAAAATGATTATTGTTGTAGAATATTTAACCCACAAAAAAAAACCTAAAAAATAATAAAAACAGTGATGATTTTTTTATTATAATAAAATATTTTTATGATAATATTTGAAAGTAAAGATGTCTTAGATATTTTTTGGCAAGTGCTAGAAGTTTTAATAATAATAATATATATTGTTATTAAAATTGGAATAGTGTTTAAAATAACAGAATATTATTCATAATGGTTTAGAATAAGAATAAACTGTTGTTAACAATTAAATATTAATATTAACAAGTAAATGTAGTTCAAAATAAGACGAGTCATTGCTAAGTATGCAAGTATATAAAATAAAATAGCATATAAATAAAGATAATTACTCGGGAACAAATAACTAGATCTGAATAGATATGATTTTGCGAGAAGAACTAATCAAATCGAATTAGATATAATAAGATCTAAAATATTAGATTGGAGCAGATCTAAATTATTTTTATCAGAACAGCTTCAATTAGATCTATTTTGATCTAGAATATTGGATACAATTATATCTGGAATCAGCTTGATCAGAACAGATCTTATAAGGTATAGCTGAAACTAGTTTCAGAGGACAATATATTAATCAAAAAAAACATTTTTTCCCAAATTTAAATCTTATGATTGAGTTTTATTAAAAATAAAATTGAGTTACTGTATTCAATGTGAATAAGATAATATCAATGTAATCAATATCGAAGTAATACCAAATATTTCGACTCGGGTCTCAAAATATTGAAATGAAAAAACTGGTAATTTATTTTTGGTTTCCGCACCCCATATATATTGTGAAATATTAGATAAAGACAAATATAAACCAGTCGCGCGTTGCTATAAACAATTTTTGACGTTTGTCAATCTATTTAGAGATGGACCCACATATATTTTACAACATATATATATATATATATGTTACATATATATATATATATATATATACATATATATATATATGTCCAGTATACCTGTGGGTCTCTATATTGTGGGATAACTTGGATTTTATTATAAAAATGTTTATTGATATGTGAACAATAGTGGATACATTTAAATTGAGTGAAGGTGCTCAGGACGTCTTATATCTCCATCACGTCTGCTCAGAGAAGCAATGGCTCCGAAAATTATACCTAGGGAGCCACTTTGGCTCAGAAAAGACGCTCTTACTCGCCTCTATTTAGCATATTATGTACACCTGGAAAGCATATATTTCTTAACGCTGATTCAAACGGATTCACGTCATAATTACCTGGTTTTCTAAGCTTAATAATATTCATATAAAATAAGTACCATCATCTACAAATAATATATTTTTCAAGTAGTTAATTGTGAAAAAATATTTTTTTTCAGACTTACTTTAATCAGAATGCATTGACTCTTATACGTTCATTGATAACTGGAGGTGCAACGCCTGAATTGGAATTGATTCTTGCTGAGGGTGCTGGACTAAGAGGAGGTTACAGGTAAATAAAATATTCGATTTCTATACAAGATATTCAATTCAATTATGCTCGATAAATTAAATGTATATTATATGATTTCACAGTACGGCAGACAGTTTAGCAAATCGAGATCGTTGTAGAGTTGGGCAAATCTCACTGTATGATGGGCCATTGGCTCAATATGGTGAGGGAGGCAAGTACGGTGACCTGTTTGTCGCAGCGTTAAAGTCATACGGAATGTTGTGCATTGGTCTGTACAGGTACAGGTACCGGAATTTTTTTCCTGGATGGTATTTATTGGATTGTTCAACATAACAAATTTTATTTACATGATAGTTTGAAAACTGTCATGTTTTTTTAATTCACTGTATATATTTTTACTAAAAATGCTATTTTCTGCAAAGTCACTTTCACTATATTTACAATTTGCCTATATTTTTATTGCACTATTTTTGTATTGTGCCTTTTGTATCATGAACATCAATGAAGTGAAGAACAGAAATTTTAATTTCATTAATTGAGATGAAAAAACATATTCGTATGAATGTAAGTTATTCATCCAAAAAATATCATTTCTATCGACGTCATATTTTTAAATTTTTTTCCTCTGAAAATATTATTATTTTTGTCTATGAATGTTTAGCTAGCTTATGTTTGCAAAGTTAATACTAGTAAACTAAGACTAAAATATTGTTATCATTTATAGGTTTCGTGACACAAGCTCATCATGTGATGCTTCGTCCAAACGTTATGTGATTACTAATCCACCTGATGATTTTACTCTCTTACCTACAGACCAGGTAAAAATACGTTCAGTTTTCTAAACAGTGGCAACTACTTAGAATAAACAAGTGTCGCATTAATTAATTAGTTTCATCATAATTGACTCATGCTCTGTTTAATAATTTATCGCTTGACTGATATCAATTATAATTAATTCATATTTAACATGAGAAACATTAAATTATTTAATATAGAGATCTCTTTAAATAAGTATTCATCATATTAACTATTCAAATTAATCCAACTTTGATTGTTCTCTTTTATCCAAAAACAACTAAGGGATGTAATTTTTTATACACAAAGGAATTAATGTTTCTTACTGACTTTTCGATTAATCGTGAAAAACTATAGCAGTTGATTAGTTAAGTGAATAGTTTTTAGATTGTTTATTGAAGGTTTAAACTATGATAAGCTCACAAAATGTAAAAATTGTCGAATAATATAACGTATATCTGAAAATAATAAACCAAATTGAACGAAAATGAATGATACTTTTGATTTCTGTTTAGGTTTTTGTACTGATGCAGTTTGATCCTGGTCTTGAATACAGGCCTAGCAGAGGTGCTCGAGGAAAGGATGACGCTTCCTGACTGTTGCTGTGTAGCGCCCTTACTGATGGACCATATTCATACATCTAAACAGATGTAGGGATCCTATTGTACCACGTCTATCATTTTTAAAATGACTTTTACCTTCATCATACTTTGGAGAAAGAATCTTCGAATAAATACGATAGTCGTTTTCTTGATCTGTTCTACAAATAAATTAAAAGATAATAGATAAATTGTATAATTTATTGAGCCGAAGTTGATGAAGACGAAAGATATCGAAAATGATGGATTTGAAATATGTGGTATAATGGGACCAGGTCTGAGGGCCGCTACACGTTGCTAATAGTCGAATTGATCATAAAATTTTATCAGAAGATATACAAAAAATTTTTGATCATATGACTGTATTAGATTGCTCACTTTACTGATAAGTTAATACAGTATAAACAAAAGTGTGCACTTCCAAGGCTCGATCAACGTCCAATGCGTCTACTGAAAAATTCGTCACTGATTGCTTCTGTAATTATATCTATTGTGGATTCATGTTAAAAGTATCTACTACGCCTCGGTGAATGTGTTTCTTGCTTGCAAAAATATAACTTGTGATGATTAATATTTAGTCTTCTAACGAAAGTGATACAGAACATCTAGAAAAAAAGTTTATCATCTCAACTGATGTATATGGTGATTATAATAGACTTTATTATAAAATCTACAATTTTTTCGACCACTGGGACGATGTTAAATGAAGAATTATCATCAGAACTTTCAGTGGATAATTTTGAAAATCAGTGATAAATAGTAAAAATAATATTAATAATTATGTAGAGACGATGATTTATAACTTAAAAAAGCGAGTAGGAATTCGATATAGACAAAATGAGCGGGACTTATTCATATATTCTTACCTCGTGTGTCTTGTTTGCGACTGAAGAAAATAAAAATACATAAATCGAACTGTGAATCGAGAACTTTGTACAAGTGTCTATGACTTTGTATTTAATTCGTCAAAAAATTATTTATATACAAATATATAAATGCATTGAAATATCGAGAAAACCCTTTTCCACCATAACTTTATGTAAGAAATCGGTTATATAATAAATAGTACGTGTGCAGTGTAAGTGCAGGTACCACTAAAAAATTATACGTATAAATAGACACTCTCTCTTTTATATATTTTTGTGAAACTCACGTGTATATAACGATCGTATATATAATATATAAACTAGATATGTTAATAAATAATTATTAATCATACAGTAAACGTTCATCAGCGTAATTACAACATTAAACACTTGCATCCTCGAAAAGACTTTGTAAGCTCACAATACAATTTGTACTCAGACACATACACTGCACAGAAATAATTTAAAGATTTGATTATCAAGTGATAATAAAGTATGAACCAGGATAGCTATTAAAAATGATCAGTCCCAGGCTTGCATTCAAATGTGATGTACACATGGGTAGTTAATTGATGTGAAGATTTATCAATGACGTAACTGTTCTTCAAAAAATTTCAAAAAAAAAACAATATCGTGAAATCGTAATGAAAAACTAGCCGTGGTAGATGCTGCCGTGTTTGTATATGCATAATATGTATAACTGCTACTGCTGCCGCTAAATTTGCTGCTGCTGCTGTTGCAATATTCACGTGCACTGTTCACTGCCACTGCAGTTCGTGTTATCATCGTATATAAATATATATGTATACACGTATGTATGTATATACTTATATACATGACGCTCGGATGTTGCGAAAGATTTAAGCAATGTAATGTCTTTAATGTATGAAAATTTAGTCTTTTGTTTATGAATGAATATTTAACGGACGATTGATGTATTTTTACATTACATTAGGTTAAAACACTAAAAAATTTACTGAATAAATGAATGAGTTTTATTTCCATTTAATAAATAATTAAATATTCAAATATGATAATAATTGTACGTCTGATTGATAGCAAATGAAATATTGTTATCAAAAATCTAAGAGTAGTATATTTGAATGTTGCAGTTGCAGTTTGAAATCGTATGTATGGAATAAATTTACACAAATTTATTCGCTAGATAAATTTTTCGTTTCAATTCGTATTATTCCACAATAATATCGTGTGAGACAATCCCTTTGAAAAAAATAAACCCAAATACGATCTTCAAATGGGAAAGAAATGTATGCTGGGTGGATTGATTCTTTCGGAAATTGATGGGATTCATATTACTTGGTGCTTTAGATTGATGCACGTCGTTCATAAAAATTGAAAAGTTATCAAAAATCTCGTATAGAATTTCAAAATAATCATGATAATGTGTCACTGTAAACCGTCTATTGAACATGATACTTTTTGAATAATTTTTCAAAAATTTATTTTGCAATTATTAGGAAAAATCTTTCTATTTTATGAAACCAATAAAAACAGTTGATGCACAAATTTCAATCATGAATTATTAATCACCATATATTTCTCATTGAAATTTATTGTTACGTTATTAATGAACAAGTAGTTCAATAAGTTATAAATGTATGGTTAACAGTTGTCACAAAAATCATTCATGCACTATATTTATTAATTATATCATGCACTACCAATTCATCTGTTCTTATTCATAAAATATCTTATATCAATACATAGTCAAACTTGTATGTATACATGACGTATGTGTCTGAAAAAATGTAACAATTCAATTAATTCAAATGTTATTGAGATTTACAAAATGAAATACAAAAAGAATGAACGGCGCGCGGAGCGATCGCCATTTCAATGCCTCATTAGCCTCATCTAATGCTTTTTTATCTGTAAATTTACAATTTGTGTACCAAATGAGGAACGTTGTTTAATCATGTTGTTGATGTTATTGTTAAAGAATGAGATTAAATATTGTACATAATTCAATATATTCATTATAATTGATAAAATAAATAATTATATACATAAATCTTTAACTAATCTTTTTTTAATTTCTTGATATACACGCAAATTACGGTAAAAAATTATCATTTGAAATTACAGAAGAATAAATCTTTGTTTAACAATCATGAAAGTATGTCAACATCATTTTTGAGATGTATATACCCAAATACGGGGAGTCGATCAGAATGAAGAATCACTGTTACAGCATTTTTTTAAACCGTTCATGTATTAACGTCATTTTCATACAAAATTATCAGTGTATTATTTTTGCACAAAATTCAAATCAGTCCGATAAGCAACCAGTTTTTTTGACCTAATTTCAAATCTTATGAATGTTTAAGTTTTTTTTAAATCTGTTGTGTAAATAATGCAGAGTCGATTTTGAGTACGGTAATGAGAATACTCTTACAATTTTATAGTTTAAAATTTTCAAATATTCTCGTCTGTTATCCTGTTTACATAATAATCATACAGAATCGATGATTGAGTCTAAATATAAGTTATTTTACTTATTCAAAGTTTTCCTACAATAAATTAATTCATTACTATTTCATTTAATGATCGATTGATTATAATTATATTAATTAGATTGATAATTATTATTGATTATACCCTAGTCAAACATTCCGATAAAATCTTTTGAAAAAACTTTATAAGAATAAATCGGAAAATTGCATCAGAAATATCACACATTTTATAAGTATCCATAAGACATTTTCTTATAAATTCTTATAAAACAAGTGATATTTCTGATACAATTTTCTGATTTATTCTCATAACTTTATGAGAATCTATAAGAAACTTTTGTATCGTTATTTATCGAAATACATAAGACATTATCGAAAATATTCTAATCGCTTTGTATAAGAATCTATAAGCATGTTTTCTATCGATTTTTATCGGAATTTATCTTCTTACCACAAAAGAAAATCAGTTTAAATGAGGAAAATTTAAATTCGCTCTGGACGTTTCTTATTCATACGGATTTGTTGTTCAAATATATACCTGAAATAAAATTTATTAGAAACTTTGTCCGGAAAAATCCTGCTGATGGTGAGATTCGATCCTGGAATCCTCGGGTCTACACAGTCCAGTACGCTGCCGACTGCGCTATTCTAAAACATGGAATCATGACTTTCGCCTAATCTATTTGAGTTAAAAATTTGGAATAATTTAAACATAAATTGAGTTTGCTTCTTAGCAAGTATTTCTGAGCAGAAATGAAATAATTTTCATTTGTAAAGGTATGACAGCTAAAATGCAACTTAGAAATTCTATCATTATCTCTATTTCCCATGATAGGATTTTATGTTATTTAAAAGGAGAACATTAGAACAAGTTCTGTAGGAAATCAATGAATTCTTATTAGTAAATGATTTTTATTAACATCTCAACTATTTTTAAAAGAAATTTTAAGACTGTATTTCATAAGATGCTATAAGAATTTATCAGTTAATGATGCCATTCGATTCTCTGTCTGATTCTGTACGATTCTATTAGAACGAATGCCATCAAATTGAATAAGAACTTATTGGTAAATAATTTCCGTCAACATACCAACTATTCTTATAAGAAACTATTGGACCGTTCTAAATAAGAACGTTTATGATTCTGCAGTGTAAATTCAACCACTGTTCAAATCAGTTATATGATATTCACTGATTCTACGGTGTATTTTATTATTTTCACTATTTCATTTTTAGAGAGTATAGCCACTCAACACAATAATTTTTACAGCGGCTTCTTTTAAGAAAAATGCTCAAGAAAATGTACTAATTCATTAAAATAAGTTGAAAAACGCATTTTATGTTCATCGAATTTTTAATTTATTAACGAATTAACATTATTAACATTTGTTAATATAATGGTTAATTTGTTGATGTTCGCTTTTTCTTGTTGTTCCCCTTTAACCTACCTTGGTCCCACTCAATGTCGTATATTATGAATGAAGCAGTAAGTATAAATCGCCATCTTGCTCTTACGTCACGACGAGGCACTACCGTGTTCTATACAAATTCTATCTATCTTTCTATTCTAGGCACCAGCGCTGTTGCACTTTACGGCCGTTATCCGAACTAACGGAAGCGCGAGATTTATGAGTTTTAAATTTCTTTAAACACTGCGCCCTATTTTCTTCATGGAGTTGAAGAGGACATAGAGAAGGTTAGGGGATGGCTTAATTAGGAGAGGAAAAATATCACAGGGGGGGGGGTTGAGGTTGAGACTTTTAAGGGAGATGTACAGGGCTTTCCTGTGAGCATTATATAAAGGACACCACCAAAGGACGTGATTGATGTCCTCGAGGTTTTGAACACAAGAGCAGGCAGGAGATGATACTATATTCTTTCTGAACAAACTAGTATTGAGGCTGTAATGATTTGTTTTCAATCGAGAAGTCATGACAATAGTAGGTCTGGTTAATTTAAGAGTAAGAAACCAGGGTTTTAGCGTGGAATTGCTATAATTATTAAAGTAATGGATGCTTTATTTTCATGGACACTTTCTGCCCTCAGTGCAGAAATCCAAGCTATTTTTATAGAGGATTGTTGGGTAGTCAGAGTAAGAATCAGGTCTTCGATTTGGTAGATTATGTAATTAGAGTGCAGGGAACCAGAGTTAAAGATATATTTGAAGGGTCCAAGAGTTACCATGGTTTTCAGACAAAAGAGTTGTAGAAGAGGGAGGTGATATGTTGAACTGTTAGCCAAAGTGTAAATCTATATCTGGGGTGAGCTGTATCACTTCTAGAGGATATTCATATGGAGTGGCACTCACCGGAGAGTAAACGAGACTGGAGTATTTTTTAAACCTGTAATATGCTTTGAAAACTGGTGGTATGGCAGAGATAATATAGGGAAGAACAGCATCAGTGTGGGCTTTTGAGTAGCCGTACATTGGAGATGGTGTAGGAGATCCAGGAGGGGATGCCCTTCAAGAGCAAGGGTACGTAAAATATACCTCGAGGCTAGCTGACTAAATCTGATGGAGAGGAGAAACTCTCCTGCCTCAGATAGAACCACATTGGTGGGAGAGTTTTGTCTTAAGCCAATAGCTAGCCTTATGGCTTTAAATTGGATACGCGAGAGTTTACTAAGTAACTGAGTGTTACTAGGAGGATGCACATGACAACCATACTCTCTAACACTTCTAATTGTGGCTCTATAAAAGTTTAAAAGGATGATAAGGTCAGCACCTGTGGATCTAAGGGCTTTCATAACTGATATTAGTTTATTGCATTTTTGAACTAGATTCGCGGTATGTGCATTGGAAGAAAGTCTACTAGCGAGGGTGATTCCAAGAAAAGTAACTGAATTGGTGATTTCTATGGAGGTATTATTTATCAGTAGCGGACAAGGTTGAGGCGGAATATTTCTTCTAGTAAAAATGACCAGCTTAAATTTGTTTGGAGTAAGAGCCATCTTTAGATCGGCAAGATATTTGCTCACACCATCTACGGAAAGCTAGAGCGATTCAAGAGCCACGTCATAGACATGATGGGAAGAAGTAATACATATGTCATCAGCAAATTGGATCACATTTCAGTCAGGCTCAATCACAGATTCAAGCTTAGAGATATATAAATTGAAAAGAGTAGGATTGGAGACTAGACCTTGACCTGAACCTTTATTAACCAACCGAGGAACAGTCAGGGATCCACCAACCAAAAAAAAAGGCGTCTCAAGACGAGTAAATTAAAGTAAAAGTGGCAGTAGTTTTCTGGAAGATCTATAGAGGCCAAAATCTCAACTAGAAAACTGAGATCATTATTATCGAATGCAGACTTGATATCAAGAAACACTGCTAGGATAAATTTTCTTTCAACAAAACCTATTAGAATGCGTGAAGTTAAGATTGACCGATTGTCTACACAAGATCTCTTTCTACGAAACGTATATTTTGAGCGGGGAAGAATGTGGAAGTGCTCTAACCATCAATTTACTCGATTGACAACGATTCTCTTTATGAGTTTCAATAGGCACGATGCCAAACATATAGGACGATATTTGCCTTTTTCAGGCTTAGGAAGTAAAAAGACAATGAAATTGTTCCACGAAAGAGAGAGGGTATGTGATTGAAAAAGGCAATTGTAAATGTGTAGGAAGTGGTCCTTGTAAGATTCAGGAAGTTTAAGAATCAGATTGTGATCAATGCCATCAAGACCGGGAGATGAAGTTTTTTGCTATTATCAAGAGCATTTTTGAATTTAGACTTAGAAAAAGAACTATTGAGAGAATTAACAGGAATGGAAGAAGATGAAAAAGAGAGTTAAATATGAGTAGGGAAAACTGCAAGCAACACGGAAGGATCAACAGGAGGACACATATTGTTTACAAATTTGAAATGTAATTCCTGCTGTTCCAAGTCTCCCGATGAAGGAGGAGCCATTGCACATATGCTACCCAAGTGGGATTGTGTAAGTAGTCGGAGTAAAATTAGAACCTAAGATCTGAAATATTTGAGCATTCCCCATTCCACCACGGCGAGGGGGATGCTGTCTTATTGCGTTTTGCAAAAGTAAGATTTGTAATAGGTGAAGCAGGAAAAACAGGAAAGGACCTACCGCCGGAGTCAAAGAGGCAATCCTTTCAGATTCGCAATAAGTTTTTATACATATGGCTAGGAGGGCCTAAATCACCCTCAGGGACTAAAAAAGACTCATAGGTTTCAAGAGAGAGATAGAATTTGCTCCAACTAAATTTTTTAAAGTTTATTTTGTGAAAGAAAAAGGATTGAGTATTCACCAGAGTGTCAACATTAATATCAATGGGAAAGTGATGACTTCCCATTCGATTCACTAAGGTTTTCCAGGAGTTAAGAGCAAATAAATTTGGTGAGATCAAGGACAGATCAATTGCGGGAGACTCTTGGTTAGGACGCGGGCTCCAAGTAGGACTTCTGTCATTAAGTAGCAAAAGGTCAGAATTTTCTAGAGCATTGACTAGAGAAACACCACCAAAGCAGGTCGATGCACAGCCTCAGCTAGAATAATGACAATTAAAGTCACCCCCTACAAATTTACCGGAG